TAAAAAAAAAAAAAAAATGGTGATCGACTGAAAGGAAAAACAATGGGGGAAATAAATGCACACTTGCACAGTATAATAAAAGGATTTATTTTAAAGATTAAAACAAAAGGGGCTAAAAACTATTACACTTATATATATATATAGAATTATGGTTTTATTTAAAGATTAAAACAGAGCTAAAAAAACTAGATAAAAAAGGTTAAGCAAAAAACGTAAAGTAAAATTAAAGTAGTCTTAGGGAAGGGAGATAAAAACAAATGTCAGGGGGGAGGGTGTCGACACAGTACCTTGGGTGGCAGCACCGTCGCTGGCTTGGCTTGGCTTGTCTTGTGCGATATCCAATTGTCGCGACTCGTTGCGATGTCCAATTGTCGCGACTTGTAGCGATGTCCAAGGCGTCTTTTCCGCTCTCAAGTTGCTGCTTGAGGGATCCTCCAAGATGTCTTTCCGTCCACGAGACTCTGCTTGTGGGATATGTCTTCTTAGACTTCTTTCCGTCCACGAGACTCTGCTTGTGGAATATGTCTTCTTAGACTTCTTTCCGTCCACAAGACGCTGCTTGTAGGGTATTTCTTTGGCGCGTCTGCCCCAAGGCAAGGGAACTCAACTGTCCGCCAGATCCGCTGCTAAGAAAAGGAATCCTGCCATCTGACGCCACATCCCGGGGCTCTCAGAACAACCAATCACCTCGCGGGTGTCCACGTGATTCTGCCTCCCCGCTGCTGACCTTTGCCCCCTCGTCTCAGCGGGGGCTTCCTCTTTGTCGCGCGTTGTCTCCCTTCACCTAAGACCTTCATTCTATGTACAAAAGAAAAGGATCTATAAAATAGTTTTAACACTATCCTTCATGGGGGTGACCTGGAGCAGGGTATCTTTGATTCTTCATTTGGCGAAATTACGGCACTTAGCAAGTCTGTAATTTTGACACACACAAAAAAACCACATTCATTAAAGATTAATGAGAACGTATTTTGTATTGCTTACCAAACAGGAGTCAATGTTTTCTCAGTGTTGACAGTGTAGAGTGTGAGAATGTTGAGCAGGAAAATAACTACCCTACTGGATTTATCAATAGTCTACCTCCCACAGGAATATCTCCAAAGCGGTTGAAAAATGAGGTTGTTGTTATTGTTATGTTTCTGAGAAATTTTAATATTAAGCAAAGTCTTTGCAATGGCACACATATAGTGTTCCAGCGCATGCGCTCTCATGTCATTGAGGCACAGATAATGACAGGGACCAAAGTTGGACACACTGTATTGGTACTGAAATATCTTTGGCTCCTTCAAAATACCAATCTTTTCTTCATTCTGTAAAGGCGTCAGTTTCTACTAAGGTTGACTTTTGCAATGACAATTAATAAGGATCGAGGCCTAACCTTTGCTAGAAAAGGTATTTTACTACAAGAACTTGCCTTTACGCATCGACAGATCTATGTAGTTTTTTCTCACGTGTGCGAACTTTGGATAGCATGCACGTAAAGTTGAGAGAGAGAGAGAGATAGAACCTAAGTATATATATAAAACTAGAAATTTAGTTGTTCAAGAGGTTTAAATTGTTTGCTATTTTATTTTATAATTTTGTTTTCTTTTTTTTTTTTTCATTTTGAAATTATTTATTCAAACCTTTCACCAGTTCCTATGTTTATAACAAAAGGGGGGTACATCTATTTGATAATTACTTATTACTAAAAGGTAATAAGATGCACTCCGAGTGCAAATAGAGGTCAAATACGAAGAAGTAGCCTATATTTCTAAATTCGTAGGCATTATATATATATATTAACGAACAAATAATTCAAATAAAAATCCTTCCAGGTGAGAAACTATATATATATATAGTTTCTCACTTGGAAGGATTTTTATTTGTATTATTTGTCCGCCAATAAACTATTTATTGTAATTCAATTTTATTTTTGTTTTTCTATTTGTTTTCTTATTTTCCCCACGGCTCTATAGATTAATTCTCTACATTTTTCACTGTGCTTTCTTATATGTTGTTAATGTATGTTTTTTTGTGGATGTTATGATAACATTCTCATTTTTATATAGAAATCTATCAATACTGATTACTTTCTGAAATGCTTCTAATAAGAACATTAGTCATCTGTGGAAATTTTCCTTGAGGATCTACTATGGGTGCCCAGGATTCATCCATGTGCGTATCTGACCGAATGTATATACTTTATTTGGAAAGTATTTTTACCTAACCTTACTTGAAATGCTGATTATAGTAAATCAGAAAAAAATACCCATTGAAACTTTTAAGCCACTATCTACGACAACAAAAAGCTTTATTAAGACCTTTTAATATTATACAGATTCTCCAAGCAGAAACATAGGATGCATGCAGGAAAAAATTAATAGTACCCTTAATGGTAATATGATATTTATATACAAGAAAAATTATATAAAGAAAATCAAGATAATAGATTAGTCTGGGTAAATTGGAGGAAAAGAAATTTATTATACATGGTTTTACCACGGATTCACCGCAAATGAAGGTAAAAAAGCAAAAGCTAATCACAATCAATATTGAGATAATGAAATTTAAACATTGTAATTAAAGCAATTGAGCTCATAATTCACTATCTATAATCTTAATACCTCTTTACAGGCCCTTCGGGTAAAACTGGGACGTTGCTCGGGATCTCTTTCCCTCACTCATCTAGTCTTATTAATATTAAATTTGAAAAAAAAAAAAAAAAACTCCGCCTTTGCCGGTCCCAAGCCCGGATGAAAAAGGAGGAGGGGGAGCAGTAACAATCTCGCTAAAAAACCTGGGATCAGCTGGCCCGGCTAATAGTACCCTGTAAGGGCTCCTAATCCAAGGATACAGCATGAGCAGCGTTTGTACTCCATGTTAGGAGCGGCTGTACATGGCGTCTTTTCCTCATGTCTGAGGTGGCCATTTTTTTGGAGCTAAGTCGGCCTGCCACTGAGTAGTGCTTCCAGTCTTGATGACAAAGGCAGCTGCATTCTACTTCACCCAGTGTGGAGATAAGAAAGAAGAATAAATTTGAAAAACACATCAACATCACATTTCCACTTCTGAAGAGATTGATAGAAAGAGTTGATGAATTTTGTAAAAAGTGATGACCGACTTTCAATAAGCGATTATTCTTATATACTCATGATTAAAAACCTGATTTTTTTTAAGATCGTTTTTTTTTTAAATGCCGTGACAATGTCTCAAATCACGATCAGACTGTATAGGACATTCTCAAATGTAAGTGATAAGTTGTTCTGTCCATTGAAAAGTTGTATGAAAAGGCAATTCTCCTTTATTTATATAAATCATATTTCAACACACAAAGTTAACTAACAAGATTTAATAAGGAATAAAACTAATATATATATATGTCATAATATATACGCTTCCTGGAATAATAAAGCAAACCTACAGTCAACCCAGAGAGAGAAGGGCAGCTAAAGTCCGGTCATTTGAGACATCAGCGACATTCCAAGGGGCCACCAACTGGGGCCCCGTTACTTGGAACCTCAGGACTAATTAAGACAGTTGGTGATTGTATTCGACACAAACGGCCGCCCGGCGGTTGCCGGGCCCGCCTTTCTCCCATCTCTCTCGCTGGTTGTCTAGAATTCCTCTACCAACTTGTGGTGTGATTATTTCTCTCTCCCCACATTATTATATTGCCACATAAATATATATTATATATATATATAAATGAATGTTTGTATGTTTGTCTGTTTGTTGATTTGTTGGTTTGTATGACCTGTATACAAATTCGCAGTAGTTCATTAATTCAAACCAAAATTTCCCTAAATCGGTAAAAAATACGGGGAAGACGATAGGCTATTTTAAAAAATATATAAATCAATTATTAAAACTATATATTCAAATTATTCTACTTAGCTCGCGAGCAGCGCCTCTAGCGGTGAAGATGGGAGGTAATATCAGCTGACCTAATGTACATGTAAAGTTTGGAGCGGGACGTTCCACAAGAGTGACACCCACGGCGCCAATTTATAATTGTAACGAATAGTGTTTGAATATAACATTTAATCGTGTAAACCCGGGCGTTGCCCGGGTCATTCGTCTAGTATTTAATAAAACAAACATATATATTTCATAAAATGCTAACAAAGTAGAGAAAAAGTTTTCTTTATTAAAGAATACTTTTTCTCTACTTTGTTAGCATTTTATAAGTCTTTAAAGAGAAATTTTATTTTTCGTTAATATATATTTCATGTAGCATTTTTATTAAAGATATAAAATTCGAATATTTAAAAATAGGCAAAAGCAAAAAAGGATACAAGAAAAGTAGATGACAAAATGTGACTCGAGATTTGAACTTAGGGTAAAACTAGCCGAATGACCCGGGCAACGCCCGGGTTTTACCCGATTAAATTTTTTTATTTAAATACTAATCGTTTCAATTATAAATTGGAGCCGTGGATGTCACTCTTGTGAAACGTCCCGCTCCAAACTTTACATGTACATTAGGTCAGCTGGTATTATCCCCCATTTTCACCGCTAGAGGCGCGAGCGAAAGAGCAAATTTGCAAATAACACGACGGATATTCGGGATAGAGACCTGAAATTTTCACTAAGAGTTTTTCCAGATTCTAATTCATATACTGTTAAAATTTCAATCAGATTAGTTACGTATTGTGGACGTGTATAGTTGACAAACATACATACATACGCTGACTTTTATATATATATAGGGATAATAATTAGATAATAAAAGGCATATATTGGATTTTAAAAAATATATATATTTTACCAATATTTCGGCTGGCTGAACGCCAACCTTTATCGAGGCATTACATTTTTGTATACACTTGTATATAGGTGTATACAAAAATGTAATGCCTCGATAAAGGTTGGCGTTCAGCCAGCCGAAATATTGGCAAAATATATATATTTTTAAAATCCAATATATGCCTTTTATTATCTAATGAATTAAGTATGGATTGCTCTATTTTCAAAGGGATAATAATATAAATGAGTTTAAAAAATTGTAAAAAAAAAAAAGCATCGGCCGGAAATCGAACCCGGGCCGTCCGCGTGGAGCATTCTACCACTGAACCACCGATGGTTATAAAAAATGGCCATATTTGGGTATTTATTCCATTCACAAAAGCAAACTGTGACAGAATTAAGAATTGATTGATGACTCTGATACTTGTATATTTAATATTCATCTATGGGGTGGAGAAGAGTAGATTGTCTTGTAGATCCAAGGCTGGTAGAAGCGGATGTTGGTGTAGATACCGGGTATGGGGCTACCGCATCCAATGCCCTCAGACACGACTCCAAGCTGGTAGAACTTGCCTTTGTGGAATTTGACCAGAGGACCACCGCTGTCACCCTGTAGTACAATCACAGTTGTCTTACAATTGACAGTTAGTAGAATTTCAACAGTGTTCATAATTAGTGTAATTTATATTATAGTATGAAAAAACAATAGAAAATAATAAAAGGGTCAGGTGTTGATATTAAAAATGATGAAAGCATATCCTGACCAGGGTCACATGTACCCTTTGTCAGGATATGCTTTCATTATTTTTATATTATAGTATATTTTATGATGCATTAGCGAGCCATCAGTTATCAAAATTCGAAACTATTATAGACACGTATGATTCTTTTTTTTTTAAATAAACAATTTCTACTGTCCTTACTGCAATGAAAAAATAATGGGAGAGCATGGCTCCTCATCATTATTTTTCCATTGCAGTAAGGGCAGTAGAAATTGTTTATTTTTAAAAGGAATCATACGCGTCTATAATAGTTTCGAATTATAGTAAATACAACATTTTTTCTCCTTATAGCGGCGTAATTTGTGTAAAAGGTAAAATAACCTACACAACTTTGGAATTGTTAGGCTATTGCTTTATCAGAACTTACATTGTAGACAATTACTTTTCTGTGGCGTGTCTATTGTTATATGCATAGAACCTGAACTGTAGAAATTGCCTGTACTTTAGCAAGTCTTGGCCATCGTTAAAAGCATTTTTAGGGATACACAGATTCCAATATAGACTTTGCTAGTCCTATTACAAGAGGCTTGGCCTTTGTTATTTGCATATTGAACCTATACTGGATCTTTAGTGAATTTTATGTAAATTAAATTGATCTATAAAAAGAAAGGGTCATCTCTTTTGTCAAATTATTCGCAAACCCTATATATATATGCTGCATCTTTGTAAATACCAATTCCTTCCAAGAAAAACATATACCCATTTTTAGGCAATATTTTGCAAAGCGAATTTCTCATCTAAACATTCCTTAAGAGTGGAAATGGAAAATCGCCTTTTACTGACGAAGGCGATAACAAGAAACCTTTGTATTCAGTTTCGCATTCTGAATTCGCCAAGGTTGGTGTTATGGCTTTGTTGCTGACATGGGTCAGTTAGTTTGGTGAGATGGCATGATAAGTGTTGTGGCTTGTGTTTATAGGTCTACAGAACTTGGAATAGCAACACTACCTGACAAGAATTGTGGCCAGGTCGTCCAGCGCACAAATGATCTTTTGATAATTGGAGTACATCTCCCATACGATTCTGACAACGCTTCTTTGGTATATACGGAATTCTTGCTTGCTTCAATTCACCTTGGTATAAAGAATCTGAAACAAATATAAGTTCTGAAACTTTGTATTTTGTTTGACATTTATCTATGACTTTTAAATAGTTAATAAACAATACCTAATTAGACTTTTCTACTTTTTCAAACCTATCTTCCTTAGGAGCTATTGAATTTTTATTTTCTCTTCAAAATATAAAATTCCTCATGTCTTATTTCAAGGCAATTAGTATTTCTGTTGAATGTTTCCAACAATATTCATAAAGATTGGCTTGGAAAGGCTAATATTTTATTGCTGTGTATGAAAAGGCACAATTCAGATTATATATTAGAAGCATAAAGTAGAGATCAAATTCCAATAAATAAATAGTGTGTGACGTTTCGGTAACAACGCTTTTATTGAAACGTTACACACTATTTATTTATTTCGATTTGGTCGTATTACCTTTTGATAATTTCAGTGTATAATTCAAATATCAAATTTATATAGCGCATAAAACATATAATACGTATAAAAATTAAAAGTAAATTTGACATACACGCTGCCAATAAAATAAATACAACATTCTATATTGTGAAATTTCATAATTTTCAAAAGAATCATACGCGCCTATAATAGTTTCGAATTTTCATAACAGATGGCGCTCTAATGCATAATTTTATATACTAATATCTTCCATCTATGTTCGTGTTGATCAATTTATGTAAAATGAAGCAGTACATGTTTGTACAGTGTATCGATGAACAATAATATGGAATACGAAAATCGAACAACCAGCATTGCTTCTCTGCGAGCATGAAGGAGCCAAAAAGAGTTTAATCAAGTTGATAGGGGCATAGAAGAAAACTTCAAGGAAAAAGCTCTCGTAAGGATTGGAAAGGGTGAGAGCCTAAGAATTTGTTTTGAAAAAATATTATTTTTTAAAATTTATTTATTACAAAACACACGCTATATCCTATGTGGATATTTGCTTGCAAATATTTAATCTATTTTATGTACATAGTTTTAAATATATATGACATAATAAAAATATGATTTTTATTATTCATTAATATAATTATAATTTAAATAATCATAGAATTAACACAGAGTTAATTCTTTAAAATCCTTAACAAAAGGAGTACAACCCAAGATGTTTTTTGTTTATACTTAGATTATATTTATTAAATGGTATGCATGCAAACTGTTTTGTTCTTAAAATATAATCATTAAAAAAAATACAATTTTGGATATAAAAGTTATCATTTCACTTCAATCCACGACTGCATGAATGAATTGGTAACGTACCTAAAATACATCTTTTTTTTATGACATCTTTTTTAATAGTCGACAGGATGTATTTTAACCCTGTACGAGAAGAATTCCAATAGATTTCAAAGCCATATATTGCAACTAAGATATTTGGGAAAAGATATAGATAAAAGAATAGCAATTATGGAAGTCGAAACTTTAATTAAGAAATTAAAAAGGATAAAAAAAAGTATAAAAGGCATTGAAGAAAATATCGAATCCATTGTGTCTATGGTAGATGTAAATGCAACGAAATGCAAACTAGAGTATGCAAATAATGATTTGATGAAAATGAGTGATATTTTCTTGCAGAAACTTGAGGATGAGGATTTGAATGACGAAGTGGAAAATTGCATAGATAAGTGTATAAGATTAAAGTGTGAATTGGATTTAAGGCATAATGGGCAAGAAACATCTGCAAAAAAAGTAAATTTACATGTTAAAATGCCTAAATTTGAATTGCCAACTTTCGATGGTAGATTAGAATCATGGCTTTCATTTAAGGATTTATTTTATTCTGCAATTGGTTCTAATTCACAAATACCGGAAATTGAAAAGTTACAATATTTGAAAGGCCAACTGAGAGGCGAAGCCCTAAGACTGGTCAACGCATTTCCAATTACAGCCGATAATTATGTTGAGGTTTGGCAAACCTTATTAACAAGATATGATAATCCAAAGGATCTGATTTTCACCCAAATAGATAATGCATTAAGATTACCAAAGTTAGCCGATGACAACCATAAGTCAATGTTTAAACTTCTAGATAGTTGCAACGAGATAGTAAGAACAGTGAAGGTATTAGGTTACCAAATCGATAGTTTATCTGATGTGTTTTTCGTCGAGATCATACAAGATAAGCTTGATAAAACCACAAGAAAACAGTGGGAATTGCAGAACAACCCAAGGGTTGTGCCTTCAATTAAGGATTTAATGGAATTTCTAGAAATTCGCGCAAAAAGCTTGCAGAATTTGCCAAATAAAGATGCAAATGTGGAGAAACATTCAATAAGAAGGGAATCACATAAGGAAATGGAGGAGTCATCTATTAAAAGGGAAACAGCCCCAAGAATGGAAGTACAACAAAAGCAATGGGGACATCCAGGTAGAAGCCCTATGGACTATAGTTCTAAAAGACGTCCTTGCCGAATTTGCCTGAACCGGGGACATGCCGGACGCTTCCATCCTGAGAATAGGTGCTGGTTTCGCGAGATGGCCGTGCAAGCCCCCCCCGCTGCAAGCTTCATGTCCGTGCCGTCTCGATCCATGGACACCTTGACGCAGACAACAGCCCCTTCGAGCGAATGCCGACCAGCTCCGCCTCAACACTCCTGACGCCAAGGTCTGTATATAAATCTAAATGTGAATAATAACAGTATTGTAGCTCTCATGGATACTGGCTGTACCTTCTCTATAATTCCTCAACATATGATAGATAAGATTCAACCAAACTATGTTGTTTTTAATAATTTACCTCTTATTAAACAGACATCCGGTATGCTAAATATAAATTCAAAAATTAATGTTAATACAACTATAGGATTTATTACTAGAGATATTGATTTTTATTCCTCTGATATTAATTTGCCATATGTATTGCTTTCTTTACACCATATAAGATTATTTAAATTAGACATTGATTTTCAAAGTTTTACAATTACTCAATTTGGTAGAATTCTTAATGTTAATTACCATAACCCTAATAATAATAATTATACACATCATAATGTAATTCCTTTATTTAAATCTATTATTCCTCCTATAATGAAAATGATTTTAGAAATTTTAATAGTGTAGAATTTGATGAAAAACTTTCACCATATGAAAAATCTGATTTAATTAAATTAATTAAGGAAAATAAGGAAGCGTTTGCTGCCCATAAAATGGATATAGGACATATTAAAGCAGATCCAATTAGAATTAAACTTACCTCACAAACACCTATTTCATTAAAGCCTTTTAGACCTTCCTTCTCGGACAACATTGAAATTAAAAGACAGATTGAAGAACTTTTAAAATATAATGTCATTAGACCATCTTATTCCTCCTATGCATCCCCTGCTATGTTGGTGAATAAGCGAAATGAAGGTAAAATTCGACTAGTAATAGACTACAGAAAATTAAATGATATAATAAATAGAGATTCTGAGCCCATACCAAGAATAGATTCTATATTAGATAAGCTTTCAGAAGCTAATATCTTCACTACACTAGATCTT